TATTAATGAGAAAATAAAAACATTAAAATAACATATATGGGCAATTCCATTTTTAACTTACGTTACATGCACAACAACTTTATCAAATATTTGCTTATTTAAACTTTTAAATTAAACTTTTAGCAATTTTGTATGAAAGCTGTTAGTCTAATAAATAAAATAAGCTTAAAAGTTTTGAGTTCGGCCAAAAGAGAGCAAACTTATTACTAAAAATGCCACTTGCACTTATGTTACACTGAAAACAAGGTAAAAAAACAAATTCAACTTATAGGTCTCATTTCTTCGAATCAGTAAAGCAGTTTGTATTAGAAACTTTTACAAAATGCAGAGAATTCTATACCAATTTAAAATTTTTATAAAAACTTTTTTCAAATAAACTTGTTTTTTTGATACTGTATTTTTTACTTAAATAACATCACTTACATTATCAAGCGGTTATCATGATTTTTTAAGCTATTATTAAGAGTTACGTAACAAAAGAATTGCATAAGTATTGAACTCATTCATTAAAAATAATTAACAAAGAAATTTTTTAAAAACTGGTGGCACTCTTTCTGAGTGATTTTTTATAACATTCATGAAAGTTATCAAACCGGAAATAGTTTTTTCGCAAGACCAAGAGCAACTTCAGAAAAAAGATGACTCAATTAAGTAATAAAAAAGATGTAAAACTTTCGTTTTACATCTTTTTTATTACTTAATTGAGTCATTGGTTTGTCGAAGTTTTTATTTACACTTCTTACATTTATGCGTATTGCTTTATTTTATAAGATTGAATTTTTAAAATGCTGCCAAGTTAAATTTTTAAATATTTAAATCTTTTCTAAACATCTATATCTTAACCAAAATAATAGTATATAAACAAACAAACAAAAAACAACGATAAAATAAATAATTTTAATACATATAAAAAAATAAAAGTTTTTTTTTTAATTCTCCTTATATAAAAAGTTTCAGTAAAAACCTTGTCAAGCCAACAGGAAGAAATAATAATTACTTAATGACATAATTCATTTACTAAACAAAAACTTAATGAAAAATCGCCAGAATTTTATTAAAAGCATGAAAACAAATATATATATATATATATATATATATATATATATATATATATATATATATATATATATATATATATATATATAGTATATATATTACTGTTACCCGCAGTATCAGGAATTAGCTAAATGCTAATATTTATAATATTATATTGCGACTTAAAGTTTCATGTGTTACCACAATCATCAGGCAAGTAGTCAAAAGTTAATTTTGCTACAATGTGTTTAGGAAAAATTTACGGTTTATATTAGTATTTTAGATCATTATGGGACGGAAACTGTTTAGTAGTTAAGGTTAATGTTATTATTAATTTGTTTTTGGTTAATATATGTGAAGTTGTTGTATGTTTTAATGTCTGTTATAAAAATAGGATTTAATAATAATGTGAATTGTTTTTAAAAATTATTGTATTAAAAATAAATGAATATAAAAATAAGTTTCAAAAGTGGGTATACAAATATAAATTATATTACGAAATATATTACAAAAGTTGTGTATGTGAATAATTTATTGGTTAGCCTAGAGGTGTACGAAATAGGGTTGGGTAGTTAATGTTAGTGGTTAGTTATGTTTGTAGCGAGCTTTGTAGTTTTTTAATAAAAACTTGTTTTCGTGGCGGCACTTTGATATGATTTCGTTTCGTTTATTTAGGAGTTCATCAGGTTTAGGATAGGATATAATTGCGAATTTCTCGTATAGACATAGTGGGCACCTTTTGGAAATATTTGAGTAGGGGGGTACAGATTTCAAAATAGACCATGTAAATATTGGGGTTTCGTTAAAATTGTTTTTCAAATCCCAGAGGTAGTTTGATAAGGCAGTGGACTTTTTGTATTTAACATTATTGAATGATGATTTGTGATTGTTGTATCTGTTTTTCCACTCGCCTATATTTTTATATATATATATATATATATATATATATAATATATATATATATATATATATATATATATATATATATATATATATATATATATATATATATATATATATATGTATATATATATATATATATATATATATGTATATATATATATATATATATGTATGTATATATATATATATATATGTATATATATATATATATATATATATATATATATATATATATATATATATATATATATATATATATATATATATATATATATATATATATTAAATTAATAATAAAATAAATACAATTAGATTTGAAACATAACTCAGAGTTTCACGCTTTATGCGATCATCAGACGTTACAAACAACCGTAACAACAACAAAAATTATATACAAAAATACAATACAGTGTTAGCTTAGATGACGTTAAAGTTGCAAATAACAAATTTGTTTTCGTGGCGACATTTTGATATTAGTTCATTTCGTTTATTCAGTAGTTTCAAAGATGACGTAATGATATGGTATTTTTTGGTTAAGCAAAGGTTACATAACTTTCCTCCAGGTTTAAATGGTTCCGCCCTATCAATAACTTTCCACGTAAGAATAGGATTTGAAAATCCCTTTTTTTTCATTTCCCAGAGATATTTCGAAAGTTCTGTGGTGTTAGCTTTACTTTCGTATTGAAAGGAATTTTTATGTTTGTACCAGCAATCTTTAAAGGTGTGTTCCGTTAGACCAATATAATTAAGACCACTATCCTGCGGTGATGTTTTTACATTGCAGACGTAAATTATATTTTTACTGAGACACATACCTTGCAAAGAACATTGAGAAGGTTGCCGGCAGTTACATGTTGGAACAATTGTGTTGGAAACATTAGATAATATTTTTTTATTGTGTGAATTAATAATAATGGTGATGTTAGGAAGACAGCTATAACTAACTTTTAAATTATTCTTATTAAAAATTTTTCGAAACTTATGTGTTTTTGGAAAATGCTTTTCAATTAGATTTAGAAAATTTTTTGCGATGTTGGTTTTTACATTTTGTGAAAACGGAGGATTAAACCAAATAATGTTTCGTGATCTTGATTTTGGTTTTGATGAGGTAAGGTTTTTTTGAAAACTAATCTTTTCATTATACTCACTTGCTGTTAACGCATTGTTATAAAATGGTGATGCTATATCAAAAACTTCCATGCTAGATGAAATATTGCTAATACGGTTAGATATCATAGATGGTATGGATTTAATAATACTAGGTGGGTGGTTAGAACTTGCGTTGATGTATAATGGGTGGTCACCTTAAGCTAACACTGTATTGTATTTTTGTATATAATTTTTGTTGTTGTTACGGTTGTTTGTAACGTCTGATGATCGCATAAAGCGTGAAACTCTGAGTTATGTTTCAAATCTAATTGTATTTATTTTATTATTAATTTAATACATATTTGCTCTACTTTTGTATTGAGCACTGTCTACCGAGAAATTACTTTTATTATTGATATATATATATATATATATATATATATATATATATTATTTTTATCTTTTTATTTTATCATTAATTACAAATATATATATGTGCATTATTGTTAGGTTTTTATTTTCTCATAAATAATTATAATAATAAATTATTAATAATAAAAAAAACAAGCAATAAGATGACTAATTAGTTTGATTTTTTCAGCGCGTTTTTAAAATGCGTCATTTTTAATAAATGCTAAAAAAACCATGGCCATGTTATCAACAAAAAAATATATATGCGTGGTCATTCAAGGCGTGCAACCGCACGTGTCTCCTGAGAAGGCCTGATATGTGTTTGTATATATATATATATATATATATATATATATATATATATATATATATATATATATATATATATATATATATATATATATATATATATATATATATATAGAAAGAGAGAGAGAGAGAGAGAGAGAGAAAGGGAGAGAGAGAGATATTTTAAAAGGAATAATTTTGCAAAAAATAAATAAAAAATAAAAGTATTGTTGTAAATAGTACCTAAATTCAAATTGCTTTTCATTATGACTTTCTCTTAATTTCATTTTTGTTTTCTGAAAACTTTTTTGATACTCTTCATTTAACTTGATACACTCACTTATTTTCGATGTAATGATATTCCTAAACACAAAATGTTGTGCAATTAAAAACAATTAAATCACATACAATATACAAATACAATTAAATCACATACACATACAAATACAATTAAATCACACCCCATGCTGCACTAAACATGAGATCATACTACAATATACTACAATTTATACTAAAATATTGATAATCATCAAATACAGCCATGTGTGAGCTTGCTAAAACCTCCTGACACTTTGAAAATAAATAAGTTCACTTTTTCATTATTTCATATGCACATACAAATACTAAATATACCACAACACCATACTAAATCAAAACACCACATTACTATGTATTTGGTGTGGTCTATTTGCAAACATCACAAATCTATACTATAAACATCACAACACCAAAAAACAACCAAAAAAACAACCAAAAAAACAACCAAAAAACAACCAAAAACCAAAACATACTCCAAACTATACATTTCATAATTATAAATCTAAACATTTTAAATTAAAATCTAACTGTCTAACAAACAAACCAAGGATTAGTCCAAAGCGCTAGTGAATCTTGTCGAATATATGATTTGCATGATGTAATCATTTGATTTGTAATCTTCACAAATAATGATGTCATTCTTTCAGATGTGTTATAATATTGAGAAATACTATATATCATTTGAATTCCATTCATCAAAGTGCTGAGATGCTCAACCATTTTTAACTAAATGAGAAAACCAAATTTTAAAAAGAGAAAAACAACCAATAATAATCAAAAAATTTAAATTTAGAAGTATAATTAGAAACAGCTACAAAAATAACAAAAAGATAGCGTAAAACAGCCAAAAAATTTAAATAAGATAAAAATTGTTTTATTTGCTGTTAATCAACCATTATATTCTGTAATTTCAAGATTGTATACAAGCAAAAAAACAAAAAAACAACTAAAAATAGTTAAACAGGATAAAATGTAACAAACAAAAAATTGTAAAAAAACAATTATTTTAATTAAAAATATAGATAGCAGCAATACTAATTTAATAACAATAGTAATAGCAAATCTATAATAATAATAAAAAAAAACTTTTTATATACATTGAGATGTATATGCATACAGCCACACACACCCACGCAAGCACCGTGTATGCTTGTGGGAATGTGTGGGTGTGTATGCATAATCATCATTTATATATACACACATATACATACACACATACATGCATACATACATACATACATACATACATACATACATACATACATACATACATACATACATACATACATACATACATACATACATACATACATACATTCATACATACATACATACATACATACATACATACATACATACATACATACATACATACATACATACATACATACATACATACATACATACATACATACATACATACATACATACATACATAAATAAGTAAGGAATAAAGAGAGAGAAATTTAATATGGTTAAAAAATAAATATAATGATTGCGAAAGATCCTTCTGTAACAATTTTTGCGTTGAATTTTTTCTTTTGAAAGTTTTTGAAATTTTGAATTTTTTGTCTTGAAAAAAATGTTGTCATAGCCTTGTTTTGGTCTTCAACAAAATAAATATAAAATTCAACAATTTAAAAATATATACTACATATTAGTTTAAGAAATATATATATAAGTTTAAGCAGCAGTAAGTTTCTGCTTATAATTATATTACTTATATTATTTTATATTATTAAATACTAATTTGTATTAGCAATAAACAATGTTTATTATTAATTTTACCTTATGCTCTTATTTAGCTCATAATTATGGATATTAAATATAATAGCAGTTATATAATACATTATTGATTTATCATATGTATAAGTGACAAAGAATGAAAATATATTATTGGTTTAATAAAACCAATAAAATAAAGTATATTTTATAGGTTCATCGTGTATAAATTTTTTTGGTTCATCATATATACTTTATTCTATTGATTCATTAAATACTTTTATTTATTGGTTCATCATATATACTATATTCTATTGGTTCATCATATATAATTTATTTTATGGGTTTATCATATATACTATATTTTATTGGTTTATCACATATACTTTATTTTATTGGTTCATCATACATTCTATATTTTATTGGTTCATCATATATTCTATATTTTATTGGTTCATCATATATACCATATGTATAAAAAGTGATAAAACGATGATAATTTATCACTAAACTTTTTTAACATGAGTGTAAACAATAAATTTTGCAGAACATAACAAATTCATAAAAGTTAATGTTCTGACAAGATTTATCATAGAGAAAAAATCAAAGTCATGAAGAACAACAAGCATTTAATTTGTAAACATATAAAAAAAGTAACTTACTGGACTGCATTTCTTTAAAGGAACAAATATTTTTTCTAAAGTACTCAAGTACTTCATGTTATCCTTTGCTTCATTTGCAGCATTTGTTATCTGACAGTCAAACTCTTTCCAGTGTTTAATTGTTTGGGACTTTGCAGCAAACAAAACACCAATTGCTGCCCGACAAGAAGAACTTTTTATTTGACCAAGTAAGCTAAATATATATATAACATTATATATCAAAAATAGTAAGGTAGAATGGAACAATGTGGACCTATGGGGTAATCTGAGTCTAAGTGATACTAATCAGTTTTTCTGAAAAACAACTTTAAATTAAAAAACAAAAACTTTATCTTCAGTTAAAACAACTCTCTAAATTTGTTTTATCAGCTTATTAGACAAAATATTAGGTAGGCTTTTGATTTAAATGGAAAATACATTAATATAATGATTTTCATCAAAAAACTTAAACCTAAAAAATAAAGATAGCAAAAATAGATTCTGACATATAAAAAAAGATTTATTTCAGAAAAACTCTTTAATAATTAAGTCCACGCAGCTTGTATGAAATTTACAACATACTTATAGATACAGACAAAGTGCGGCCTGTAATTTATTAATTATAGAACATTAAATACTTTTTAAATCAAAAAAATTGTTTTAAAAAATTATTGTTTTTAATTCTATATATTTATTTAGACAATCAGTGAAGTTGTAATTGCATTTAAGTTTCAATTAAAACTAGCAACAACAAATAGATGACATTATTTAAATTATCCCAACACCAATATACAACACAAGAGTTTTCGGTCTATTTTAAATAGAGCTTTTGCTTAAGACTCTTATTTCTACAAATTTTAGACATACTTAGACTTTTTATAAGTAATTGGACTTTCAATTTCAAATATTTTATATTAAATATGGAAAATTCAATAAAAGATAATAAGTGAAAAAACTGTGGTAACAGTTTGCAAATTTATTAAACTAAGAAATTTTTTTATGATAACTAATTCATTATGTAAATCTCTTCATCCTAGATTAAAATATGTGAAAGCAGATAAAAACTTTTTTTTTTTCTTATGAAAAAAGAGGAATATATTTGTTTAGGAGAATTCTTTTTGCAAATGTGTTTGAAATTTTTTGTTTTTTAATAATTCAATATTGTCTAAAGTTCTTTTGATGTAATTTATTTATAAACATAAACTTTGTTTGCAAATATCATATTGGTAACTAAAATCTCTCTATAAATTGTTTATTGTCAATTTAAAATGTTGCAATAAATAGGTGAAAAAAAAAATTTGTGATGAAGAAACCAATCGTTATGTTAAAAATAAGGTTATTTTAGAAATCAATTATAAGAAAATATAATCTTTCTCAAATACCAAATTTAGATTTCTAAATAGTAATTTTTGTTATATAAGTTTAATATTCTTAACGTGGTTTAAAATTACGACGTAACTGCCAACCTTTAATTGTTTGAGGTCCGCAAAAAAATGCTGACCTCATTTCTATGTCTTATATATATATAAATGTATACATATATATATATACATGTATATATAAACATGTATATATATATATATATATATATATATATATATATATATATATATATATATGCATTTAAATATAACAATTTATAACCTATTTAATTTAGCCATTTTCTTTCTCCAATATAATAATTCATCACTTGGTCCAATGTCATCAGCTTCTTTACGAATCTAAAAGATTATAGTATATTACAAAAAACTGTTATCTATTACACAAGTTAACAAAAAAAAAATGTTTCTATTACTCCTGAGCAAACAATACATTTTTCTTGTAGAATTTCTCATTTTCTTATAGAATTTCTCATTTTCTTATAGAATTTCTCATTTTCTTATAGAACTTCTCATTTTCTTATAGAATTTCTCATTTTCTTATAGAATTTCTTATTTTCTTATAGAATTTCTCATTTTCTTATAGATTATAGTTATTAACAATTTTTTCTTATAGAATTTCTCATTTTCTTATAGAATTTCTCATTTTCTTATAGAATTTCTCATTTTCTTATAGAATTTCTCATTTTCTTATAGAATTTTTCATTTTCTTATAGAATTTCTCATTTTCTTATAGAATTTCTCATTTTCTTATAGAATTTCTCATTTTCTTATAGAATTTCTCATTTTCTTATAGATTATAGTTATTAACAATTTTTTCTTATAGAATTTCTCATTTTCTTATAGAATTTCTCATTTTCTTATAGAATTTCTCATTTTCTTATAGAATTTCTCATTTTCTTATAGAATTTCTCATTTTCTTATAGAATTTCTCATTTTCTTATAGAATTTTTCATTTTCTTATAGAATTTCTCATTTTCTCATAGAATTTCTCATTTTCTTATAGAATTTCTTATTTTCTTATAGAATTTCTCATTTTCTTATAGAATTTCTCATTTTCTTATAGATTATAGTTATTAACAATTTTTTCTTATAGAATTTCTCATTTTCTTATAGAATTTCTCATTTTCTTATAGAACTTCTCATTTTCTTATAGAATTTCTCATTTTCTTATAGAATTTCTCATTTTCTTATAGAACTTCTCATTTTCTTATAGAATTTCTCATTTTCTTATAGAATTTCTCATGTTGATTTTAAATATGCTGTATAATATTCTGGTTGTTATTTTACCAATGAGTAAAATAAACAAACAAGGTTCATCATTTTAGGCAAGATATAATGTAACACAGGTTTACATCTATACCAGCCTGTTAGATAATAAATGGGTGTGAGGCTGGTCAACAGAAATGTTTTTTTACCCCCTAAGTTTTTGGATAGCAGAGCTTTTACAAGACATTAGCCAGATGGATTTAAAAACAGTGTAAGCTGATTGATTTAATTGAGTCACCATTTCTAGCCTTTTCTGAGGCAAGAGCCCTTAAGGCAAGGTGTAGTCAAAGTTATTTTCTTTTAATCTATACCTAGAAAATTAAATCCAATATGGCAGCAGGGTATGAGACATGTTTTACTGGACTACACGTTAAAAGTAGCAGGAAGATCACGATGATCCTAAACATGATTTGACCTGAAGTGGTTAAAGAAGTAAACAACGGATATTAAGAAATTACTACATCTAATAAAATTACTGCAACATTTTATTGGGAACGGCAACAAACTATTAACACTGGATATCATTAATATCATTAATAATAATATCATTAAATTTTAAATCATTGTAATAAATAATCTTATATTATAAATAAAATTATTGAATGCAATAAATATATTATCACTAACCATCAAAACAAAGTGTAAAAACGTATTTTTTTTTTTTACATTACATAAGCTAAAATTATAGAAAAAATATTTTATATATATTTTTTATACCCATTTTCTTAATAAAAAATCAACTTTTATCATTCACGTTCCAAAAATTAAAAGTATTACCATAACAATAGGGTCACCATTCCAGTCTCTTTTTGTATAACTAAATTTAACAAGCTAATTTTTTTTATAGTATAACTTGTTATGCTATAATAGTAAAAGCTGACTATTTTTATTAATACTTGTTTAATGACTATGACATTATTTCTAGCAAAATCAAATACACTACAGAAGATTTTTACTTCACATGTAATCAGCTTTCTATATTTCAAAAGTTTTTAAGATTTACGTTAAAATCATAAACTTGTAAAAACATTAAAATCGTAAACTTGTGTAAATCATAAAAGTTTTTAAGATCTACACAAGTTTACTACGGATTTTTAGAAATCCGTAGTAAACTTGTGACCCTCATTAAAAAATTCAAAAAATCAAAGAAAAGCCAAAAAACTCCAAATAACCAGCTGTGTTAAAATGTCAAAGAACTCCAATTAACCAGCTGTGATAAAACTTCAAAAACTCCAATTAAGCAGCTGTGTTAAAAAGTCAAAGAACTCCAAATAACCAGCTGTGTTAAAATGTCAATGAACTCAAATTAACCAGCTGTGTTAAAACGTCAAAAAACTCCAATTAACCAGCTGTGTTAAAACACTAGAAGATTGAAAAACTAAAAAAAAAAAGAAAAAAAAGAAAAAAAAAACTTCAATAAATAATAATGATTTTTAAAAACATTCTTTAAAAAAATGTAACTAAAGATTAATATTTTAAGATTTTTTCAAATTATTTATCATTTATAAATACTTTTTGTAACTTTTATTTATTTTATTTGTTAGTTTTTAATTTCTTATTTAGTTTATTTTAACTTAAGCTTTTTAATATTATTTTTTTCATAAATACCATTTTCTGTTCTTAGGATTAGATTTGTTTTTTTATTAACAATTACTACAAATTTTGTTTGTGGTCTTTTGTTTGCATTTTTTTATTATTATTTGTTATTCTTTTTAGGTGATATACCACTATTAACATATTACAGGGGTGGGACCGCAAAATGTGAACACTTTTCTGATTGTAATAATTAATTTTCTGTTAAATATGAACTATTTTAAATGTTCAATTTTTGTTTTTTTACATATTATATTTTACTTTGTTTACATATTCATTAGTACTTTGTCTTTCGTTTTTTATCAAATAAACTCAACTACATCTAACGAGAAAATAGTTATAATAAAACAAAAACGTTCACATTTTGCGGTCCCACCCCTGTACTTATATATTTTTCATTATGATTATAGATGTTATAAATATTAATTTACAATTGTCAGTTTTTTACAACAACTGCATAGGTTGTTACATTACGCCAATTTTTAACTGATTGTAACTTTTCCTATCTATGTATATAATATTCAGTTTTTATATGGTGCACATAATCAATATAATAAAAGATTTTTGTTTTGAAATCTAATAATGATTTGTTTTTATTATATTTTTAACTATTATGATCAGTTTTGATACTTTTCCATTATTATCGCTGTTATCCTTTTTCTTATTATTATTTTCATTATTATTTTTATTGCTATTATTGTTTTGTTATTATTAACAATATTAATATTTGTTTCAGCAATATTATTTGATATCATTTTCATCAGCTTTTTACTTTAAACTAGTTCTAAACTATATGTAAATACCATTGATAATTAAAACTTAATCAGGAATGTATATGATATGACATTTTGTGTTAACCACAGCTGTGTTAACCAGTGCTTAGTTATAACTGTTACGGTAATTTTTTGCCTTTTTTAAATATTCCTTTACAAGCAAATTTGATGTGCACTAATTGTTGCGCTAAATGATTATTTATTATTTATGAGATGACATTGAAGTGAACCTTGTGTGGCATAAGTATTCAAGCTGCTTAAGTAATAAGAACTTAAGTCTCTGCTTAAGTCTCATGTACTTATCACTTAATTCCATCATACAATCAATATAAAATCTGTTTGATGGGTAGTACATAAAACTATTTTGAACAAAGCATGAGTTACTTCAGAGAAATATCAATAAAATAAATATACTACTTTGTTCTTGCTTTTGTTTTTTGAAAAAAACAATTGCCTAGACTTTTTTTGAACAATTTGCTTTAAATAAAAATTTTCCCACTTTTTAATTTCTAATTGTTTTTTTATTCAACCTAAAAAGTAAAGATCAAATTCAAAATAGTAGTAAATGAACTTTGAAAAACTTGTGATAAAAAAGCAATTTTAAAGCTAAAAAAAACTATTCTTAATATCATCAAATTTAAAGAAAGTTTTATCTCTATATTAATTAATACTTATTTTAAAAATTTTAATTGAAATAAATATAATCTCTTTAAATTATAATATATTATCTATGAATAATTTCAAAAAGTCTTAAAATATTAATTTTTAGTTACATTTTTATTTCTATTTTATTCTTTTTCTTTTAGTTCTTCAATCTTATGATGTTCTAACGCAGCTGGTTATATATTAAAATGTATAATATATAAACATATATTATTATATATCATACATATATTAAAATGTATAATATGAACATACATTAAAATGTGTAATGAACTATATAAAAGTGCCAAAAAAAACAATCCAAAAAATTAAAGACTATATTAAAACCATTTTTATCAAGAAGTTACAAGAAAACTTTATAGTAATACAAACAAGTAACAAAGATCTACTTAGCATTTATTTGCAATAGAATCTTAATAATAATATTGCAATGTTAACTATAAGGTATTTAACTATTATTTTTTTAATGAATATTACCTGTTGACTTTCGATAAGTACTTGCTCAATTTGTTTAATCCATGTCAATACAAGTTTTTCAATAGATACAAGTAGGTCAACATTTGATGCTTATTTTAATTTAAAAAAAAAAAATATATATATATATATAAATATATATATATATATATAAATGTTTTATATTTATATATACATATATACATATATGTATATATGTATATATACATATACATATACATTGTATATGTATATGTATATATACATATATACATATATGTATATATGTATATATAAATATAAAACATTTATATATATATATATATATATATATATATATATATATATATATATATATATATATATATATATATATATATATATATATATATATATATAATACATATACATATATTAAAGTTATGAAAATTATAAACTATAAAAACAAATTTAATAAAAGTTATAAAACTAGAAAAAGTATTTTTTAAAACAAAGTATTGGTTTAGTGGAAGAGAATTTATTTTGTAAGCAAGAAGTTCAGAGTTTGATCTATGTTCCTATTAGTGTCACACTTAACTTGTTTCTCTGCACAGCAACTTTGTCTAGTGTATATATGTATATGTAAATATAAAACATTTATACATATATATATATATATATATATATATATATATATATATATATATATATATATATATATATATATATATATATATATATATATATATATATATATATACATATACATATATTAAAGTTATGCAAATTATAAACTATAAAAACAAATTTAATAAAAGTTATAAAACTAGAAAAAGTATTTTTTAAAACAAAGTATTGGTTTAGTGGAAGAGAATTTATTTTGTAAGCAAGAAGTTCAGAGTTTGATCTATGTCCCTATTAGTGTCACACTTAACTTGTTTCTCTGCACAGCAACTTTGTCTAGTGTTTATTTTCACAAGCGACTTATGTTTTGGAGTTAAAGGGTTGAAGGAGCTTGTAACAAAAAAATAAGGAAAACCTACGTTGTTACAACAAACAATAATTAAATATAAAAAAAGAAATAGCCTCCGCAACTGTAGTGAACTCTTGGCTTCGGGGAGCTGAATACAGTAAAAAAAAACATAAGATATTTTTTTCAACTAGGGTTTTCTTTGTTTCAAAACAATTTATTAATTACCTAACAATTTATTTAAAAATTAATAAATTTAGGTGCTTATTTAAAAATTAATAAATTTAGGTGCTTAGAGTAGTGTAATCAAATTTGAAATAAGCATCACACTCATAAAATAACTTTATTACTATAAAAAAACCTATAAAAATAAACTTTATTACTTAATACCTGCAGCAGAATAATCATTTAGCGAGTGCATTTTTCCAAGGACTGAATGCAAATCTCCAGCACTTAGGCATATTCTATAAAATAAGTTATATTTTATTAAAACAAATTTTTAAAATTGAAATTTTAAGTTTCAATTTTAAAGTTTAAAACATCAAACCACTATTTTTTCAAATTATTATTAGTTTCAAAAATGTGAGTTAAACTTTGTGAACTACAAGTGCTAGTCGTAACATCTGAACCATAGATTTAAACATCAACATATTATCACTGCAATAATTTATTTAAACATCAACACATCACACTATCTTTCTTATTAGATTGGTTGGGTTTTTCAAGGTCTACAAATGTTACCCACACATCTTTTTTCCTTTTAATATGTACATTCTAACTAAATGTACATATATATTTGCATAAACATATAAATGCATATATATATATATATATATATATATATTGTAAGAATTATGTTAATATTTCCAGTAAGAGTGCTCAATACAGCTTGTTATATAATTAGTAGAGCAAACAGTGAAAACTAAATAATTATTAAGAAATATTTCAATTACATAACTAAAAGTTTCACGCAACAGCATGGCGGCATTTTGACGCAAGCTCGGTTCGTTTGTTAAGCAAATTTAATAGTGACGTAATAATGTAGTATTTTTCTGTCAAGCATAAATTGCAAAATTTACCACCAGGTTTGAATGGCTCTGTTTGATCAAGAATATTCCATTTTAATATAGGTTCTATACCTTTGTTTTTGCATTCCCACACAAATTTCAAAAGTTCAGTGGAGTTTGTCTTACTTTCATAAACAAAGGAGTTTTTATGCTTATACCACTTGTCTTTGAACATTTTCTCAGTAAGCCCAACGTAATAACATCCTTCTTCTTCCTGGTGAGTTTTTGCATTGCAAATATAAATGAGATTTTTTGTAAGGCATTTTCCATTGAGTGGGCATAAGGTGGTTTGTTGACAACTGTATAATTGATTGGCATTTTCATGAGAACTAAATATCTTTTTATTATGAGAAGTAACAATACTCTTAATGTTTGGAAGGCAGCTATAACTAACTTTTAAGTTGTTTCGATTTAAAAGTTTGTGAAATTTGTGACATTTCGGGAAACATTTATCAATTGTACTCAAAAATGTTTGTTCTGACGTTGAGTGAATAAGGTGGGTTAAACCAGATAATGTTTCTTTTTTGATATTTTGTATTAAATTTTTGGATATTTGGAATGAAATTGATCTTATCTTTGAATCCACAAGAACTGAGAGTGTTATTATAAAATGGTGCGGCTCTATCAAAAGCTTCTTTGCTTGAAGATATATTGCTGATGCGGTTAGAGATCATTTTTGGTACACCACTGATATTATAGAAGCAGCAAAGACCATCATCTATATATAGACCGGTAGTATTAAGACCATATTCTTTGGCAATAGTGCTGAAGATATAGAGGCCAACTAGTTCACACAATTTGGCTCCATCAAAACTACCCATGGTGACATAGAAATTATCCGCTGACCTTTTAATCCACTTATTATTTCCTGAAAAAAGTAAAGATTTCCTGGCGTGGTAAATAATTTCGAGTGATTTATCAGGAATTTTAGTGAACTGTTTTTTGTCAAAATTCCGCCATGAAAATAAATTTCTAATAAAGAACTTTAATTTCATCAAAGCGGACACTCCATAGTATTTTTTGTATATAATTTTTGCCGTTACTTTTTTGTTGTTGTTAAATCTGATGATCCCTATTGCATGAAACTTTTAGTTATGCAATTGAAATATTTCTTAATAATTATTTAGTTTTCACTATATATATATATATATATATATATATATATATATATATATATATATATATATATATATATATATATATATATATATATATATATATATATATATATATATTTATATATTTATATATATATATATATATATATATATATATATATATATATATATATATATATATATGAATATATATAATATAAATATATATTTATATATATATATATATACATGTATGTATAAATACATACATACATACATACATACATACATACATACATACATACATACATACATACATACATACATACATACATACATACATACATACATACATACATACATACATACATACATACATACATACATCAGGGGGTTGACTTTTCAATTTTTTTAATTAAAAATGAATGAGTGTATTTTAAAAGCTGACATTAAATTTGTTTATAGAAATATATGCTTTAGATCTTTGGTTGCAGAAACGTCCCCTGTAGAAACTTTTTTTTTTAATTTTTTTTTTAAAACAACCTAAAAAGCTAACCTTTTTTATGTTTTTTATACATTTTTTATTGTTTTGCATGATACAAATAATGGTAGTATATATATAATTTATGTATAAATAGTTTAAATTCATCAAATACTAAATACTTCTGCAAGTGTCATCTTTAATTGTTTGTTGTCAAAATAGGCATGTTCAAATCAAGGTGATTATTTTGTGTTTACTAAAATCTACAATTAATATACTTAAAATAAGTTATTTATGTGTGCTTAAAATGTAAAATAGATTTAATTTTAAGCTTCGTATGTAACTTACAATTATAATTAACGTATACTTTATATTTTAGAAATGTCAAGAATAAGCTCACAAATAGCTGAAAAACCTGAAAATATCAAAGCCTCAAAATCTAGTTTATTTTTAAAAATCAAAATAAACAAGATCTCACATACCCAAAGTTTTAGAGCTATTTGATAATTTGAATAAAATGCCAAAAGCTTATTATGTTATTGGTCGGTTTATTGGCTTATCAAATTTAGAGAAGTCAGTTTATTCGAGATGTAAAAGAGTTGGCACAGAATTATCTGATTTATGGCTCAAGCTTAGTTTACCAAAAATAAATCAAAGGTCTATAACAAAAAAAGTGGAAATTCTAATTAACAAGTATCATTCAGTTCAAAAATCTAAACAATGTCTTGAAGAAAAGTGGGATTATTTATTTGATATAACTAAAGTAAATGGTAATTGGCTTAGCAACGAAGACAAAGCATTTTATTTCTTACAAGTGGATACTAATGGTCAAGTTGGTTATTGTACATCTAAAACTGTTAAAGTACATCCATCTAAGGCTGGCAGGAAGAGACCTAGCATACCTGAAACAGATACAGTAGAGGTCAGTGATAACAATGAAGAAGGCAATGAAAAAAATGATGAACAAGATTCTAATTATATTCCTCCAGACAAAAAAGTTAAGAGAAAATATGAGAACACCACTGTGGCTGTTAACTTAGTTAAGAAGTCAAAACTAAGTATTAAGAAATCAGGAGAAGTTTGAAAAAATTTATCTGAATGTGGTGTCAATGTACAAGCCCCAACTAAATCTGAGGTATATAGAGCTACAAATAATGGAAAAGTACATGACAAGTCATTTTAAAAATGAGAATTGGGCATTGTATTTTGACGGTAAAAGAATGTCAGAGAAAGAGTATTAAGTCTTGGTTTTAAAAAATACAGAAAAGGAAGTGAAACTAACCATTTTAAAACTAGATGATGGAAAAGGTATTGGTATTTACAGTAATATAGTTAAAGTGTTGGATTAATTTTAACTATGGAGTAATATTAAAGTTATAATATCTGATACTACAAGTGTGAATACTGGGAGTAGAAATGGAGTTGTAATTCAACTGGAATGTGAATTTGAAAGAAAAAATCTTGAACTATTTCAATTTATTAGTTGTCAGCATCATGTGTTGGATGCAATTTTGAAACATACTATGAATGAAATTCTTAACGAAAGAGTGTCAAAATTGCCAGAATTACATTACAAATTTATTGAAAACCTGCAAAAAAACCCTGCAGAAAACCAATATCAGACTTTGTCTGATATTTGGTTTTCTGACATGCAATACTCAGAACATGATTTTAAAAATTTAAAACAAGCAATAACTCCAACTTCAGCCATTAATACTTTAAAAAGATTTTGGTCACAGGAGCCCAACAGAATACAAGGAATTCAGAGATCCAATTTGTGCTGAAAGAGCCATAAAAGTTATGCAAAAAATTCATACAAGAGATATAGACAAAATGAACTACAGATTTATTATGCAAAACAACTTTTAAATTGTATCTTGTTTAACTGAAAGTTATTTTGTCAAAATAAATTGTTATTTATCTGCTAATTTGTAGATTTTTATGTATTTCTCAAACAAAAACATATTTTTCTAATTACGGGGGACATTTTTGTAACTTGTCTCAATAGAACTTTTAAAATTAGTAATCTAATGTAGAATGTCATATTTTGGCACTATATCCAAGTATAGTTGTGAAAAAGTCAACCCCCTAACATACATACTTACATATATACATACATCAGCCTTCAGAATTCGGGTTGGCATTTGGTATTGCCAACATAACTGCCAACCTTAAAGTGTTTGAGGTCAATAAAAAATCGCTGACCTTGTTTCTATGTTTCATGGTAACTTTTTTTGTCAAATTGTTTTTGCCAACCTGATGCCAACCTTTAACAGTCGGAGGTCAGCAATTTATTGCCGACTTGATTTTTTCTAATTCTGAGGGATGCATATATACATAATTACATACATACATACATACATACATACATACATACATACATACATACATACATACATACATACATACATACATACATACATACATACATACACACATACATACATACATATATACACACATACATATATACACACATACATATATAAAAATATATTGGAGGCCTTTTTTGTGTGCCACAGCGTAAAAAAGCTCCCCTAAGCCCCCATCCTCCCCTTCATCCAGCACTGCCTCAACTGCAGTGGCCTTCTGGGCCTTAGGGAGGTGAATTGACATTAAAAAAAATCCATACAAAATAGATTTTTTTTTTTTTTACAGTACCTTCCTAATTACATACAGTACCTTCCTAATTACATACAGTACCTTCCTAATTCATTTTCTTTTGCTAAAGATATTTTATTGGTGAATTCACCTAATTGATCCACAAACTCTGAAGCTTCATTTTCTCCAACATCACCCCAATCCTGAAAAAAAAAAAAATTTTAATGCACAAAAAAGTTTATAATATAAAATTCAAACAACAGAATTTGAAATGCAGTAGTGGTGCAACTCACTCTTTGTAAGTGAATATTAACACTATGACAACAACAATAACAACAACATCATCATCAACAACAACAGACAAGAGGTATAAATTTAAACTCTCTGCTTCAATCTTTCCAACAAAATTCAACAAAATATTTTTTTGTGTTTGAGAGTTTTTTGTAAAGAAACTCTTTCTACATTACAACAGATTCTAAAAAAGACTAAATCAATGCATAAAGAAATTATGTATTTATAAAAAATATATTAATGTTGTTAAACTTGATGATAATTAAAGGTTTAGTTGAATCAGCAACCTTCCTGATAGCACCACAGTTAACTACATTTGTCCATGCAGTGGCATTATTTGTCAAAATTTATATTTTACAGTTAAAAAATTGTTTACAAAAAAAGATCAACAAAATTACTTATAAGTCACACAAGCGACTAGTAAATAGGTCACAAGTGGACAATGTCTTTATTCAGAAAGTAAAACATAAGAGTAGCGTAAGAGTAACAAGATAAGTTTCTATTCCACAGTTAATCACATTCACAATTAATCAGTTATTTGTGACAAAAAACAAGTGAAAAAACTGAAAAAAAGAAAAAAATCTGTGTGAGTAAATGTAGAAACTAAAAGAGGAGACAAAAAAAGTTTTGAGACAAAAATTCGAGCAAGAGCAGAAAATTAGTTCGAAAGAAAAATTAGATTGAAATAAAATGCTTTATAGAAGTATCTGATGAAAAATGTATTATTTTAAAATTAGTATAAAGTTTACATACTTACAATTAAATATAAAAAAATTGTCTTGTTAAGTTCTTATTAAAGAATATAGATACAACTAAATAGTTGTAAAAATATAATCTAAACTAATAAAGGAAAAATCTTCAGATTGTTATATGTTGACACAGACAAGCTGTAAGCAATTTCTGTAACAACCATTTATTTAGGACTGTCAAATTTATTGGCCAAATCTGAATATCTTCTTAGCAAAGAACCCTAGGTGAATACCTTGTGTATGTCATACGCTTCCAGAAGAATTGTAAAACATCCTAATTTAGGAAGAAAACCATATTGACCTTTAGATATGAGATTTTGTGTCATGCAAAACTTAGTTTTTCATTCAAGTATAAAACTCGCCATGATTTTGCTGACTATGATGTTAGTGATATTGGTCGGTAACTTAATGGTTGAAGTTAACAATTTTTTTAAGAAATTAGTCAAATGTTTCATTTTTTTCTTTTAAACTCTTTGTAGATTAAATTGATTGTTCATGCAAAAAATATTGCACATTTTTTAAGATTACATAAATGTTTTTCATTGTGACCCAAAAAATTTTTTCTGATAATCCTTTAAGCTTACTTCTGTAAAATTTCTATTAATTATCATAAATGTTGTTTTCATCAAACTGACTTGTTTGTGCGTTGATCAAAAAGAGACATTGACCCTTTTTTATTAACTGTTAAAAAACAGTGTTGGAAATAAAAATTTAAAAATTATTGAAAAACACTGTTGGAAATAAAAATTTAAAGATTGTGGATCAATACTGATGAGCTAAAATGAAAAATATTGAACAGTAAACAATCAAATTTTTTTCCGGACGATTAAATTTAATTTTTAAAAGTAGACGATCATTAATTGCTGATCAACCAATATTTTCACAGCTGAGAAAATAATCACTCTTTTTTTTTATGTAGTTGTTGAACCATTTGTTATTTCTAGACTGTTTGTTACCACAGCAATCAAGCATCTCACATGTTTTTTTTTACATAAGTATTTGAAACCTATTCTTGAAACCCCCAAACCATTATAAACTCAATTTTTCAACTTTGTGACTGATCCCTTTTAAGCGTAAACTGATTCATTAAAGTTTGCTTTTATCTTATATTTTTTTCTATTTATAGGAATTTAATGTTTTCACATAAACAGTTTGATATTTCAAACTATTCCATGCATTACATACTTGATTTATAAAAAACGTATGCCTTACATTACAATTTGAAATATATTCTCTTGCAAACCTAAAATTATGACTTCTACTTTTTTTTTTCATTGAACAGTCTGTTTGTGGTTAAAAGTATTTCTTTTTGTAACAACATAGTTGTAACCATTCTATTAAAACCATTCTATTATAACTATTCTGTACATTTTGTATTAGATCACTGCAAATTCTTTTTTTTTTTTTTCAGCGAACACTTTAAGTCTCATCAACACTTTTTTCAATCAAAACTTTAAGTCTTTTCTCATACTTCAATATTTATAAAGATGGAATCAATTTGATTGTTTTTTTTAACCCTTTTTAAATGGTTTACATCATGTTGTTGGTGAGGATTCTAAACTGAGTATAGTATATAGTATAAGTCTTACAAACAATAACAAACACTTTCTTTTTTTTAAACAACTTCACTTCCAACAAGGCTGCAAGCAACCACTACTAGTCTTGGAAGTTATAGAAAGAGAGAATATGAAGTTTATAAAGCAAGATAACAATAATTGCAAATAATACAAATGGGAAAACAAGAGGAAGGGATAAATAAGAATTTTTGGAGCACTTAGGAACAGTCATAATAAAAGGATGAGACTTAATTAATTGATAAGTAACATGAGAATGAATTTTAGTAGATGGCACAAGAAACACTAGCATTTAGAGCAGCGCCCATTATAGTATTAATAGAAAAGAGATAGAGATGCAACATTACGACAATGTGATAAAAGTTAGCTGCAAGAGCAGATCTAACTATGTTTACATTGTGCTTTTACACCTTGTCTAAAATAGAAAGGGCATCATTCAAAAATCCACTCCAGATATGGCAACAGTTGTCAATACAAGGACGAATTTGAGATTTATAGAGATAAAGAATAAAATTCGTAAGTTAAGTAAGAAAGAGGCCAGCAGGATAAAGAGATGCAACCTTATCAGATGCTAATTTTGCAATGGATTTGATATATGGTTTCCAAGAAAGATTGGAAGTAAAAGTTAATCCTAGAAGATAAAGGGTTGATGACTCATTGAGTACATTACTGTTCATAAATATAAGAAGATCTAGATTGTTGGGATAACAATAAACAAAAAAATTGATCTTTATCTGAGTTAAAGTTTATCAGCTATTGCCCCATTCTGGAGAAGAAGTGAGATCTTTTTCAAGCTCAAATGCTCTCTCAGCAATCAGCAATCGAGAATGTTAGCTTCTATCAAGACAAGAATAAAAGATTCTCCAGAAGTCTCCGGAGCCTAATTTTTGAGATATAATATGAGATTTTGTGATCTGAAAGTAGCGGGCTATAGACAAAAACTTTTTATAATGGTTTCTAGCAATAGTAAACAGATGTCTGTGTCCTGGAGAATTATTTTGGCGATATAGAAGTAATGGTTACGATTGGAAATTGCAGTAGCACAATGTGAAGAATGCCATGGAGAAGACTTGAAATTATCTAGAGGGAATAAAAGATTCCATGCCAGCCTGAATCAAAAAAGTTACAAAAGAAGCACATTTTGTAGCAGGAAGATGAAAGACTTCTATCCAAGGGCCATCACAAAGAAAAACATGGAAGGGGTCAGCTTTAAAGTAGTTGTATTGAGGTACACTGATAAGGGGATTCTGATGATGAAGAAGAATGAGATAATAGTTTTAGAGAGATCAAACCATAATTAGAAGCACTTAAGGGTAAATGTGGAGAAACTGAGCTCTGACTAGAATCAGAAACAAGACATAAATCAAGTAGAGAAGGTAAATGTTTCAGATTGTCTGGAAAGCAAGTTGGAAAGTTGACTATTTGTGTTAGAGATTGAGAAAGGGAAAAAGTTGTGGGTCTTAACAATTGCAGAGTCACTGACACTAGAAACAAGTCATTCAGTGTGATGAGCACCAACAGTCACCAACAACAACGACATTGGCTAAAGGAAAAGAGGTTTTTGGTAAATTTTTTCAGAAATGACATCAAAAAAAAGCGCAGTCTTGAGATGAAGGAGAGTGATATAGAGAAAAAGAAAGGCAATAGAGTGAAGTGGTGCTAAATAAAAGCACATAAAAGAATGGTCTGTGGGTTTAAACTTAGTTTCCCAACAAATAGGTGATATCTTACGAATGTAGATGCCCCGACTAAGCATGTGACTATTGGAGTCTTTATGAATTAAAGAAAGATAACTATCAACACTAAGATCACTAGATGAGACAGCGGTACTCAAATTAGTCTCACAAAGAGCAAGTAGGTTTGGTAAACTTTGCAAGAAATAAGACTCAACAGAAGAAAATTTACTTTAAAGACCATGATTAATGAATGATAGATTTAGAGAACTTGGTGATGATGATTGTTTTTTGTGTTTTATAGTTTTTGATACTTTAGTCATTTTTTAAATTGGTTAAAGAACTTGACTCAAAGTACAGATTGTACTCAGTAAACTATCTAACAGTCAATACAATTACTTTATTACTACTACTAAACCCAGAGCTTTAACAAAGGGTTCCAAATGCGGCCTCAACAATGCACACCAAAAATACAAACAGGGACACCATTCATGTCCGATATGGCACTGTTGGTACTCTGATATATTACAGCTGTTGATGGAATCAGCCTCGCTGAGAGCTACCACAGAGTTCAGCAAATCTGAATACCAGCTGGCCTTAGTGCCATAAAACTGAGTTTTAGTGCTGTACCCTCTTTAGGAGATTATATAATGAGTTGCCATAAAAACAGAGGCACAAGCAAAACCCAAGAAATGAGTCAAGAAGATTCAGCATTCAACATCCTTAGCTGGAAAAAATGAAAATAAATACATCTATGCCAGCCTAATAGGTGAAGAAAGGATGCCAAGCTGGTCATTAGATAGAATCTGTTTACCCCTTAAGTCTTTGCTTAGGAGGCCTACTACAAGACAGTACCCAGATGCATTTAATGTCTACCCAAGATAAGAATATATTCATAAAGACATCTCTAACTTATTTATACTTTCATAGTTGGAACATCCTTCTAAAATTTCTAAAAGCCTAATTTATGTCAAATTCTGTTTACATCGATTTCAGATTTTTTTTGACTTTATTGTGCCATTTTAGCTTATTTATTATAAGATACCCAGATATCAGATATATATCCTATCAGATATATATCCTATTTCAATTTTTCGCAGTTTATTAGAATTAATCACATTTATTATAAAATATTTGAATTTTTTTTTCTAAAGTGCATAGAATTGTATTTCATTTAAATACATACACCATATATCTGACCATTGTTGTATAAGTATACTATCGTCATAAACCTTTGATCTCTCTGATTAATTTTTAAATGAAGCAATTAATTTATTACTATAGGCATATAGTTTTAATGGAAAAGGGAACACTTTATCAAAGGCAAAAGCCTTTGATGAGGCAAAAGCCTTTGATGAGGTATTACAACTAATAAAACATCATTTTGCAAAGCTTTTTAGTTTTTGTAGCTTATATTTTTTAATAAGTTTGAGACAAAAATAAAAACAAGTACCAAGATATATAGGTTTAAGTGAAAAAAAAAAGATTTTTAAAAGTCATTAAAAGTTTTTCAGTTTCAGATGAAAGTGAAAACTTTCTATTCAAACGAAAACTTTCTTTTCATATAAGCTTTCATTCTCTTGTTCGAGCCAGCACATTTATTAATTTTATTATTCAAATAAGCATTTATTCAAATAATTCATTTTAACATAATAAATTATTGTAAATATTAACATAATAAATTGTTGAATTTATAAAATTAAAAAATAAATTTACCAATTTTAAACAAGAATTACAAACCTTAATAGATTTGATAGATGGAATCAACACACCTTGCAAAATTAATTCAATATCACTATAAAGGTTTCCATTTGTGCAGCTTAAGTTCATAAAATTAGTTTCCTTTTAAAAAAAATATGTGATAACTTTCAAAAACAAGAATTACTTTTTTTAAAAATTCATATAATCAGTTAAACCAGATTATTATTTATGTTTAAAAAAATAATTAACATAATTATGTTATTAAAAAAAAATACAAAATAAAAACAGGTTTAGGAAACATAGCAAATACCCACATAAAATTAGTTTTAATCTCTAATAGACTCTCATACATAGTTAGTGATCATTAGATATTAGTAACTACTAAAAATAGAACAAAAAAATTAAAAGATAAAACCACCATAAAACACACAAATCTTTTTTCTATTTTTCTACAGCATACCTGCGCAATATTTAATGTGGTTATTGATTCAGTAGAATTACGTAAAAAAATCATACAGGTTCCAGTCAAACGCTGGAAATATAAATCAAAACAATGGTTATAATTCAAGCAATGTAATAAAAAGATTGTCAAAGTAAAGTCAAAGAAAATCTCTTGAAATAAAATACTACCTGGGAGGTACCTGATGCAATGAACAACTTATTTGCCCCATTGGAGGGTGTTTCAATATTCTAAAAAAAATTTAAACTTTATATGTTTTATAATTTTTATAGATATCATTATTTAAATGAGTTTATTCATTATTAGTTCAAAATTTATTTTCTGTGCCATTTATATTATTATAAAATCATGTTACCAATTTATAATTACACCACTAAAGAAAAATGCTTTTAAATAATGTTTTAAAAATGCATACCGTGGTTGCTGTTGGTACTATACATGGTTGGTAATAAAACATTAATGTTCTCATGCCATTTTTACAAAAGAACTTTTCAAACAAGTCAAACTACAAATTAAAGTGTTTAAAAAAGATATATGATAATACCAAAAAGGGCCATATACTTTCTATAAATTTTATAAACTGATATATAACCAATTGGTTTTGCCTAAAACCTTTACAATGAATTGTGGTAAAAAAGGTCATGGTAAACATTTTTGCATACATTTGTTATGAGTATATTTTTATTTTAACAGAACCTGTGTTTATAATCTTATAATTTAATTTTTAACAATAAAATTTACCTTAAATAAAATTTACCAAAAGTTTACCTTTTCATCATTCAGCAAATGCTCTTGTACTGTTTGCTCATCAAGAAAAATTACTTGTGAAATCTTCATTTTTATATAAAAAAGATTATAAAATAATCTGTAAACTAATAATAAAATAAAATAAATAAATAACAACAAAATAAAACTGAATGACATATGTCAGCAACCTCTTATCGAGAGACCTGGATAGGATTTTGTTTTAAGAAAAACATTGCTTGTAATTTACTTAGTAATCTGCTGTATAGTTTTTGCAGCCACCAATCAAATTTCATAGAGAAAAAACAAACAGTTAAAGCCTATTATTGTCATTAAACCACAAGAGTTTTGATCGATTTAAATAAAGAGTTTTTATTACTGAAATGTATATCCTGTTAAAACTTTTACTTAATAAATAAATAATAATAAAATTATATTTTAAAAAAATAGTAAAAAAATAAATGTAAATCAATGAAAGCAAGACATTTTCATAAAAAACTCATAAAAATCAATGAAAGCAAGACATTTTCATAAAAAACTCATAATTTTTTTAGCTTTGTAAAAGCTAAAAAAATTACAAATTTAATTTTTTTTTTTTGCTATTTCATATAAAGTTAATAATTATCGTTTTAAAAACACACAATAATATTATTCAAATTTATAACATATAAACTTATAATATTTATTTATAACATATAAACTTGCATAACTTAAACATAACAGCATATTTAAGTTACTTTAGATGCAAAAAGCAAAATTACTTAGAATGCAAATTTTTAAAATTATTAGTCTGAAATAATAAATTTAATCAAATTTTTTAAATAATGATTTGACATTTTATGCAGTTTCATTAGTTTGGCAGATTTTTTTTATTTTCATGTTTTTGCTATAGTCAATTTTCGCTCTAATCCAATTAAATGTCAAGTAAATGTAACTTATATGAAAAGTTTACGATGTAACAGTGAAAATAAATATAAAAAAAATAACCTTCATAAAGACATAGTTATGCCGATCATCTAACTAAAAAAAAGAATTTTAACAAAATGAAAAAATATATTGAACTTAAATAAAAAACTAAAGTATTATTATAAATCATAAAAACAGCAACATGACTCTACAACTTACCTTAACTCTATTTAATTCAATTTTTTGAAATCTTTCTTGTTGTAAAAATCTTTTAGGATCTCGTGTGTCATTAAGCACAGAAATTTTTCGCTAAAACAATGATAAATACATATCAAAAATAATTTCTATAGTTTAATACTTAATTTCTATTATAAAATAGGTGACATTTTTTCTTACTAAGTAATCTTTAGATATTTTGTTAATTTATTCATATCTTATTATTACCATCATCACTATCACCATTATCATCATCATCATCATCATCATCATCATCATCATCATCATCATCATCATTATCAGCATCATTATCATCATCATCATCATTATCATCATCATCATTAAAAATTAATACTAACTTATATATACTTTAAAAAGCAATGACTAATTATTTTTAACATACCATTTTTGTTAAAATCTTGCTATATTAAAAGTTTTTTCTTACAACTAAATAGAAAATCATTATGAATACAATAGTAAAAATTAACCATAGATTGCTGTCTATTTATATATATATATATATATATATATATATATATATATATATATATATATATATATATATATATATATATATATATATATATATATATATATATATATATATATATATATATATATATATATGTATATATATATATATATATATATATATATATATATATATATATATATATGTATATATATATATATATATATATATATACATACATATTTTGGTGAGCAGTCTGACATCACACTGAAATAGGGGTCTACCAGGGGCTTTAGTATATAAACTAGCTGACTAAATAGGGAAAATATGCAAGAAGTGCTGCTACATCAACTAAAGGTTTGGGTTGGAGCAGCAATCATTTTTTTCATTATTCTTTATTTTTTTCTTCTTTTCAAAAAAAAATCGTTTAGAAAATAGTAAGCAAAAAAAAGTTGTATAGATTCTTTTAATAATATATATACTTTTAACAATATACATTTTTAAATATAATGTAATTTTAAATTTAACATTAAAAGAGCAAGACTGGAATAAATAGATTAAAAAAAAAAAATTTAATAAAAGAATGCCTGCAAAAACCAAAACTCTTAGTATGTACACTTTGCTGCAGTTATGACAAAATTTATATCGGACTAATGGAAGGTGAGTAGAAAACCAGATATAATAATAATAAGTCATCATTCAATAACTTTAAATATAATAAAACCAACGTATTTGACTATGTTTAGGATTAAAAAACCACATTTATCGAAACCCCTATTTTCACATGGTCTATCTTGAAATCTGTACACCTCCTCAATGATGCCCACTATGCTTACATAAAAGATTCACAATGATATCATATCTAATACCTTAAGAACTTCTAAACAAACAAATAGAAATTATATCTAATTGTTATCATGAAAATAAATTACCAAATTTCAAAATATGAATATATGAACAATCAATGAATATCCAAAATACTCATGACAATTTATATTCTACATGCAATATTCTTTTCAGAATAAAAAAATATATTCATTGGGTATTTATAAAAACTATTAACTTTAAGTGAATACCTAAAATAATGATATTTGATTAGCAACAAAAATAATAATTTACAAACGACTCAATCAATTTCTTTAAATTGATTAAATTTAAAATTAGGAGGTTAATATTATTATTAATAATGGTTTTGATCAATAATATAATATACCTATAAAGGGGATTTTATAGAAATATGCATATTATATATGATATCTATAAAGTTACCTTTATAAAAATTGATCTAAACAATTATTAACAAACACACACAACCAACAATAGCTAAACCATTAGCAACTATTATCAATCACCTAGGTGCCTTACTTTATAGAAAAATTGGTTCCTAAAACCTTTAAAGCAAACAATGTATTTAGAAGTCTAAGCTTAGATTTACAATTATTTCAAATTTACGGAAATAAGTCCTTTAAAAATTAATATTTTTAGGTGTTATTTATGTTATACAGTAAGAGGTCTTATAAGACCTCTTACTGTCTAACATAATTAGAATTTATTGAAGTACGTGGCTCAGAAAATCTTGACAAAAATCTACTTTTACTAAAAGATAAACTCGAAGAAGCAATTCAACATTTGGCCTTATCAAGTGGCCTTAACAAGTGGTCTTATAAGACCTCTAACTGTCTAACATAAATAACACCTAAAAATTTTAATTTTTAATGGACTTATTTGCGTAAACTTGAAATAATTGTAAAAACCCAACAACCTTGACCTTTACCCTAAAAAGTTAGAAAAACATGAATAACAAATTCGCACGTGACATACAAATATTTACCTTTATTAGTTACTAGGGAAATAATTATATCGATCAAAGTATTGCTGCCCCCAGCATATTCCGAGTACCCAGAAAAACGGCCGGAATACAGAACCAGCTTTTACCGGTTACCCAACCGAGTACTCAAAATATATAGAAGTGCCAGGTACCCGCCAGTTTTTTCCGGGTACCCGGAACATTTTTTTTTCGTAAGACCGAGCGTATTGAAGTGTGGGGGATGAGACCCTTCCCATCAATGAACTCTTTGTTCATTTAATCGACAAATTTGATCATTTTAGACGATTCAGTCGGCAAATGTAGAAATTTTAAACCAGTCAGTCGGAAATTGTTTTTTTTTTTTTTTTTTTGTCAACAAAAATTTTAATGTCTTTCAAGACACAGTTTGATAGAACTGTGTCTTGAAAGACATTAAAATTTTTGTTGACAAAAAAAAAAAAAAAAAAAAACAATTTCCGACTGACTGGTTTAAAATTTCTAAACAATGTTCTGCGTGCATATTTTTGTTTAATGTACAATCTTTTTAATTTTTTATGATTTGTTCTTGCCCATGCAGTATTATAATAAATCAAATAATAACAATGAATAAAAGAAAAATATAAACTTTTTAAAGATATTGTTTAGAAATGAATTAGTCCATTATTTCATTGCGATATTTTTAGATATTTTATTTTCAATACTACTTATATGTTTACTGATACACTTCATTTAATTGATGTACCTCTTTTAATAAATGGACCAAATTTGGTAAAATAAAATTGAAACACCTTAATGAACAAAATACACAAAAAAAATTATGATACTTTCAACATTGAAGAGTTGCTGATTTTACGAAATAAAAACTAAAACAAATTCTTTGAAATTTATTCAATAAATTCAATAGAATTTCTATAGGCAATATGTTTCAAAAGTCTATAGAAATTCTATAGAACTTTTTTTCCTGGGTTCGTTTCTGTTTTTGCATAGGTTTGTTTATTTTACTTTTTAGCTCTGTATTATTATTTAAATCCAGGTTGGATAATTATTCAATAACAGCAGTTTCTGAGTAGTGTGAGCTTTTAGCTAACATCACTTTTTCTTTTTTATTTAACTCTTGTTTAAGTGCTTCCTACCTATTTCTAACAATTTTTTTTTTTCTTTATGCATTTCGCTTTTATCTTCAACCTTTTGAATCTTTGGATTGTGTGCTTCCTTAAATGTTAATATGAAATATATATATATATATATATATATATATATATATATATATATATATATATATATATATATATATATATATATATATATATATATATATATATATATATATATATATATATATATATATATATATATATTTAAAGGTTCCATTATTTAAACGTTTCATCACTAATAATGACAAATCCATTATGAAAAAAAAAGCCAAACATTTGCGCTGTTCTTCTGTTCAAGAGAACATTGATGAAAATGATTGAAACAATACTCAAATTATTAATGTAAATATATATTTTGAGAGGCGTGAGAGACATTTTCAAATTACTACAAAATTCATTAAAAACGTTGTTTTTTTTTTATATGTAGTTGGATTAAACACAAAAACTGTTTTCAGATTATTTTCTTCAGAATATTCTTTTTTAGTGGTTGTGTTGTGTTTTTAGTAGTTTTTTTGAAGTTTTTTTCCAAAATTATTTATCAATATGCTTCATAGCTTAGTCGAAATTTTTACTTTATGATTTATATATATTTTTTTTGTATGTTTAGCCTCAATTATATGGAATACTTCATAAATGTTATTGGAGAATATTATTCAAGAGGAATTTTATTGGGATTGAATGCTTTTACAAAAGTTTTTTAAATGAACATTAAAAGATTTAGAGAGAGTATACATCAATAGAGTTGCATACATCAAAAATTTGTAAACGCACATACAATACTAATCTTTGCTTTGTGTAAAGCTTGAAATTGATTGGGAAATTCGAAGTTGATGGGGAAAGGATATTCAGAAATTGAAAAACTTTACACATCAATAAATCTCCGATGTTCAGATATAAAAAAAATTAAAAAATTATAATGGTTCGGTAAATGCTGTTCTTACAGTAGCTAAAAAAACATTGTGGTAAAACACCAAGGTAACAAAATAAATTGATAATAGCAATAACATTGCTGATACTAGAATTTTAACTGATGAAACTTGTTGACGTCGAGGTTAAGCTTTTACCAATTTTTTAATTTACCATTTAATCGGTAAAAAAACATAATTTACCGGTAAATATCGGTAAAATTGATAAAAAAAAAAAAAATTATAGAAACTCATATAAAATTTTATTTTGCATAATTTCTTTTAAAATGATTTTGAATTTGTTATTTGAATTGTGGCATTGCTTTTTGGCCAAATGTTGAATTGCTTTTTTGAGTTCATCTTTAAGTAAAAGTGGATTTTTGTCAAGATTTTCTGAGCCACGCATTTCTTCAATAGTTTCTAAGTTACCTGGATTCGTTGGGACAACAACTCTGTCTTAACAACAAATTTTGGCAGTCTTTTGAAGTACAGACTTTAAAGGCATTTTGAAAACTTTATTTTGTTTAATGTCAGATATACATTCTGGATTGGAAAGATATTTGTACAAGCTTACAAGATCGCTCTGCATTAACACTTCAAAACGTTTCAAAACAGTATTCTTCATTACAATTTAAAGTGTCAAATCTTGTTGTTTCAGTCTGTTCATAAGAAAAATGAAAATTTCTTCATCAGTAAAAAAAGTTGCATCCTGTCGGCAAAGGGTGTCTGCTGCCAATTTGACTCGTTCAAGAACAGCAACAATGTCGTGTAAAATGCTTATTTCATCATGGCTGTAAATCAAATGTTGAGAAACATTTTTCAATACTTTTCTGATCGAATCTTTTTTTTTTTTTTTTTTTTTTGAGCAACTGTTGAATCATTGACAGTATACATTCCATCTTGTTTTGCAGTCAAGGATAAGCGAAACCTCTTTTCCGTGCTAGTGCTTTTTTTATTTCTTTTTGGAGGACGTCATTTTTGACTTAAAATTTTCAAAACAACTTCATTTTTGTAGCTTATTACTTGCAATAAACTGTTATTAATTTCTCAGAAAGGCTTTTTGTACAGAGCTTTCTGAACACGATTGATGCTCAGTTGGAACCAGTTTTCAAAACT